ACACGCCAACCGGCTTATTTTCTATTTGTTTTCTTTTTTTCTTCCCATATATTAATTAATACGTATTACTTAGAAACTGTGAAACAAAAAACACGTATGTACGTACGTACGTACGTATAATAAAAAAGTCGTGCTACCATTATCCTTATGTTACACTAAAAAATTATTTTACTGTATATATATATATATATACATATATATATTATTATATATATATATATATTTTATCAAGTAATCAAAAATATACTACGTACATCTAAACTATCTAAACTGTTCGTTGTTCTATTATTGATCTACCTTTTGATTATTTTGATTAGCTTATAATTGATAACATATATATATATATAAAGCGTTTATCTCCTCCTTTCAAAAAAAAACAATTTCGATCTTTTTTAAAAATAATAAATTCACTGTTTCTCTTGTTATCGTGTTTATATGTCCTTATTATATTCACGAAAATTTCAAGAGACACTTTATCAACAGACATATCAAGAGACACACTTTGTCATTTCAAGATATTTTCAAGAGACAACCAAAAGTTTATTGTAGATCAAAACATATTTCATAAAGTGTCAATTCTTCGTCCGCACATTAAATTTCCATTATATTCACATTTTATTCGTATTATACATTTAACATAACACTATCGTCGACAACATGTCAACCTTTGTTGTACCGCAAATTCGTCCAGACGTTCCTCGTTCTTACACTTATCCAACCACCACAACAAAACGTCGTCGAAAAGATACATTTGTTGAACGATTACTCAAGGATCCAATGCTTCAAACAATGGCCGACATTGGCAAACAAGAAGGTACAATCAGTCCGTTACCTGCACCACAGCGAGCTAGAACCATAAACAGCACAGAATTTCAACAATATTATCGTCAAATTCAAGATGGAAATTTTGATCAATATATCAACTCTCTATTCAAAGCAAAATATAGTTGATCTATATTAACAGTCAATACTTTCATATACCTGAACATTTTCATGTTACTATATTAATTTCTTTTATTTATCGGGTAACTAGTCGAGAGATATTGAGAGGATATTGAATATATTTGAGTGTGGGTGCACATTTTATGAGGTTTTTTTCTTATACATAGACGATATACAGACGATACATGATATATATATGAAACACAATACATGCTTTTTTTTTTTTTTTACAGTTACAGTAATCCATTTTTTACGAAAAAAAAAAATTTTTTTCGTCTTTCGTTGTATATAAAATCTTTATTATTCGCTCCCTTTTTTTTCTTTTTTAATTATTTTTTTTTTTGACTTTTATTTTACAAAATCAAAGTTAATATTACAATACTATCCAACTATTTTCTCTCTTTTAATAAT